ATAGAATTAAAATTTCATGACGGTTTAATATTTTATGTCAAAACATAAGTGTTCCTCAATCAAATTTTTGGAATCATTTGCATATATAAATATATAGATGTATGTATGTTTTCCTTTTACCTTCAAACACGGTATAATTTTTGTACCAGGAAGAAATATTTTTGAAATGAGATTTGGTTGTGTCTTGCTAGTATCCGTGAGTTTGTATTGAGGTAACAATCAGCAGTAATAATGTGTATATGGCATTTGGCAGGAATATTGTTGTGATAACATTGTCGTGGCTAGTCCCTGACAAATACATTCACCATTAGACGCCTGTTTATGATAATCACAAAATCTTCCAGTGTAAATGGACATGAAATTTCTTAGTATTTGCGCAAAAAGCCTCTGGTTATGGGTATAGGTCACATGACGGGTACTTCCGCTTGTACTTTCACTTTGTTTACTTGCTAGAGATAGCATTCGTTGCATGCTACTTAAACTTGCTTTGCCTCCGACTTTCACTCCAGCAATGGCTCTCGTCCATCACCAGGACTTGGACTGGGGGAGACATTTTCCACTAGTAGTGTAAATGGACATGCAATTTATTGTTTTCCACTATCTGAAGATATCTAGCTTTATCCATTGCTGTTTGCATTTTCTTTTTTAACAAGTTATATTTCCAAAAAGGTTTACATAATCATTTACTTTATATTTAATTTTATATCTGAAATTAGGGAAAAGATTGCTAATTTGCTATCATCTCTGATCTCTCAAGTGTAGATACAAATCTCAACGAGAATTTAACTGCTTTTGTTTTCGAAAAGGACAAAAAGAAAAAAATTGTCATTGCCAGTTATTTCTTTGTATTTTTTTTTTTCTTTTGAAAAATCAAGAATTCTTCTTCATGAGATATATATAGATAGAGGATACTCAAGTTTTTTCTATAAATACATGATTTATCTTTATCGAGTGGTATGAAAATAAATATTTCATGAGTGGCGGTAGCCACGAGTGAAATATGGTAATTTTCATGCCACAAGATGAAAATAAATCATGTATTTATAGAAAAAACTTGAATTTTCTGTTTATTATGTACATTTTTCTCTTTTTTGCGATAAAATTTGAAAAACTTTCCCTTAAATTTTGTGTACTGGTAGAATTTAAAAGAAAGTAGTCCGGCAAGACACCAGTGAAAATACGGAAAATATGTTTCACTGCAGTGAAAAATAAATTTTTACAGTGAAAATACGGAAAATGAAAATACGCATTTTATTTCATCAATATTTCTCAATATTTCATTTATAAGTATATAATAAACTTCCGATATATCTTTCTGTAGACACGATATGACCCATGTCAGCTACTGAGTCATCATCATTGATGTGGGAAAATGGAAGGAGAAAAGAGATTTCGGCTGACCGAGACATTTTCTGCAAGTATTCATCTAAATGTAGATGAGTATGTGATCTTAATCTATTGTTTCCGCGAGCTTTATTGATGACTTTCGACAGACGTTCAACGATACATCAGTTCCTTTGTAAAAAAAAAAAAGAATGGCCCAAGTTTATTTTGTAGTTATAATGTTTATTGTTTTTTGTTTGATTTTTAAATTGCCATGGTTTCCTTTAAAAAAAATTCTAATGGCCCATCTTGTAATGGTCATGTTACGTAAAATTTGCATAATTTATCCTGACATTGTGCTCTTTAAAGAACTGAGTTTTTTTTATCAAATATGGAACTGTGTGGTTTTTTATTTTTTTCAAGAAGACCTTTTATGTTCATTGACATATTTGAAGAGTATTTACTTTGCAGTTTGAATGGTTGCAAGTCATATGTTATCACGTCATCATGGAATATGTACTGTGGGACATGTATCTCCCAATCTCTAGAAAACCTCTTGAGCATTATATTTCATTGTGTGTTATCGAGATGCTGTTTCTGCATTAAAACAACATGAAATGCTGGGAAAGGAAATCTCGGATATGATTTATTGATGTAATAAAACTTTGATATGCTATTTACAAGTCTTGTATTGACATCTAGCAGGTTTTTAGCCCATATCTTCCATGCTGGCAATGGGTGTTTGATGCATTTATCCGCAATATTTTATTGGTTTTAGAAACTCATTTGATTAATAAGCTAGCAAACATGGGCTTGTTCGGAATTTCCTTGAAACATGATGAAAAAATTTCTCATGGTGAATGTTTGTCATAGATTAGTTACAACACAAGTGTTTTACATGGCATCGTAGGAGACTGACTTTTCTATCTCATGACATCTTTAACAATAACCTTTGTTCCTTAAGAAATCTTTGAATTAAGGTAACCCTCGGAGTCTGCCAGGCGACAACTTTTTCTACACATGCAACCAGTGCGGACTAACATCAGCCTGTTTGTGCTGTCTGATCATGGTGTACACTGTTGCTACAAGTTGTAGTCTGTGATTCTGTGCATATTTTAAAATTTTTCATTAAAAAACTACTATGCTTATGATGAATGGTTTTGTCCAGATTGAAAGATGGACAAGGCCATTTAAGATATTTATCATGGTTATGGATTAATATTAAACTGCTTAAATATCTTATACCCGGAACTCGTCAAATGTGGGTTTTTGCCAAGCAAGTCCCCAGGTACAAACAACTTTTTACCTTTATAGTTTCACGGAGCAATACCGTTCACAATAGGATAGTCAACCTGTTGCGCTTATAAGAGTTTGGCCCCGGATTATCTGGGGAAATTTATTCAGGAGTAAGTCTTTTAGACAGCCAATAGCAGTGTAGTTAGTAAGTTCATAAATAGACTGCAATAAAATATTTTACAAGGTATAGCCTGGCTTAATTTTGCTGACAAAACATGTCATTATTGTAGCTAGTGCTCTGGAGATTTAACTGATTTTCAAAATGGAAGCTTTAAAGTTAATATTGATTTCTAAATAAAATCATTGGCGACTAAAGAAATAACCATCAGTATGGTTCTTTCTTGACACGCAATCATGTCATTTTTTGTTATGCCTTTCCATTCTTTGTATGGTTTGCCCAACACCGCATGTACATTATGAATGGCCAATGAGGTAACTTAATTAGTTATGTTTTCCTTTGCTAAAGTTGAAATTTTACACAAGAACGGAGAGCTGTCATGTTCTCATAGGACTTTACCATGATAATGAATTTTGTGTTAATGAAAGCTGCAGCATGCATGAAAAATCTGTTTTCAAAAGCATGGAGAGTTTTAGATGGGTCGATTACAGGACTCTTCTGGGAAAACTGAAAAGTTGGAGGTTGAAAAATATTGTTCCATCGAGTAAAATGTTATACTGCATTAAAATAGTAAAAACAGAATTTCTTTCTTTCTTTTGAAAATATTGACTGAAAAGGTTGTTTTAGGGCGTAAGCTTAGAATACTTTGTATTATCTTGTTGGTTTGCTGGTTTTTAAAATTTTTAATGAGCCGCGCAAATGTCATATGAAAGCTATCTAGGTAGCTTACGGAAAGCCGGTAGTTCTAGTAACCTTTCAGTCTGTGCCTGAAATAATGCACAGATTGGTGCCTAAAGTCTTCCTCCACCAGAAATGCTGGGAAGTTGCCATAATTATTACCTATACTGTGCTGGTGCTACGTAAAACTCGAAACCAAAAAATTTTAATACACGGATACCAATTTGTATTTTTTACAAAGCATTACCATTGTTGACAACAACAATATAACAATAAGAGTAATCATACAGGATACATGTCACCACCACATTGAAGTATGTATCAATAAATCTGTGGTTGATGTTAAAAAACAATGTGAATCACCTTTAATTCCACTCAGTACCATTGTCAATCATGTCAGGTTCATAAAAGCATGAAGAAACGGAAGGGCATTCTATTGAAATGTTGGAAAGGTCTTCAGGTACATAACAGTGTCCTCCGGTACAGAATATTTTACGTGAAATTCATTCGAATTATGACATTAATTAAATTCATTCATTAAAATTTGCAGGAAATTTTTTTTGTTTAATTATATATATAATGATGAAACTTGAGTGAATTAATTCTAGTAAAGAATATTAGCAATAACTTGTAGAAAAGTTTTCAATAAATTCATGCATGTATTAGAAATGTTGATCCTTGAACTTTGGTATAACTGCATAGGTGTTTCTTCGATTTCCACCTGATTTCCTTTTCATCTCTTAGTTTTATTTCACTGTAGATTGATTAAAAAAAGGTATTATTAGATTTTAGTTTATTTAAGAATTTGGGTGGCTTAGCAAGAAAATTGCCATGCTTGATGCATTCATTTTATGTTCACAACTTACCTGAAATAAATAAGATTTGAAATTAACTATTGAAATTTGAACGAAAATAATTACCGACAAAAAAATAAAAATGTAGAAATACTGTAGAATGACTGTATAATACTGTTCAGGATGAAGCTGTGAAGTATTAAATACTTGCTCTGAAAATTAATTTTAAATACTGGCTTGGAAAATAAATGTATATTTTAAGATTGGACATGATATAACCCATTAGCAATTAGAAAGCATCTCATGGCAATGTTGTTGCTATGGCAACCATTCTGTTGCTAATGATTTGTTTTCTGAAAAAAGGCATTAACATACCATAAATTATAATTTAAATAGAAAATTCTAAAATATTTGACATATTTTTTAAAAAAATGCAACCCATGATTAGATATAAAAAAACTTTTGAATGTGTTTTGACAATTTTTTTACCCGAGGTGACCCATATAAATATATTTTTTGCCATTTACAATTAAAAGATAGATTGCTAAAATAGGACGAGATACAATCAACAAATTAAGGTAAAGTGACATTCAGCCACATGGGGTTTGAGCTAAAACGCAAAAAAAAAAAAAAAAAAAAAAAAAACTAAAAAAAAAACATCCTGAAAGTAAAAAAAAAAAAAATGGCATTTTAATGCGTGGAAACAGAAAGCATATTAGGCTGATTACTTACTGGTATATTTATAGCGAGAGACCGATGTATCATTCTAACCTGCCATTTTTTTGTCACAGGATCAAACATTACTGCTGACAATCCCGATACTACTTTTGAATTTTTCGAGTACTTCGATCAGTTAACGCGTAAGTAGTTGGCAATCACACAGAAATTAATCAAACGATATTTTTTTATATATATTTTATATCTAAATCCTTACTGCATGTGTAATCAACTTCTTGTAGAGAAATCTTATCTAAAATTAGTGGCTATTTTTTTCCATTAAACATTGTTTATTCGTGGTAAATTTTTAATTGGGCAGCTCATTCTTTTACTATTGGATATTAATTTAATTTGTATTTCATTTAATAATAAAAAAAAGTTTTAAGCAGAAAAATAGTTTTAATGAGGGAGTGAAAGCATTTGATCAAAGACACATTTAAAATAAAAAAAAATCCATTTTATTTCGGGAGGCGGGGGAGTGGGGGTCACAAAAACATAACAACAGAAAAGTTTTGGTGGGGTGACCATTAAAGGGAGGGAGAAGGCTTCTGTTAGGAAAATGTCTTAGCTGTCCTTAACCTATAGACCAGTGTATAAAACATTGTATCTATTAATGTCTATAAGATGCACGAAGGTTCAATTAACAAGGAAAGGAACTAACGTTTGTACGCAATGTATTTTCTTGTAGTCATGGTAACAAATTAACATTTTGAATTCCAGGAAATCGTACAATGTCTGCTGATTCAGAATTTGAATTTTTCGAGTACCACGATTCTGATACCCGTAAGTAATTGCGATAGGCGGCTCATGAATATCCAATAAATAGTTATATGTATCAGGTTAAATATTCAGTTCCCTTGGTTACAAAAAAAGTCAGTTTTGGGTTTTTATTCAGTTTCTCGTAAATTGGTTAAACCATTTTGTTTCAGTTAGTAAAAAGAATACACAGAAAAAAAAATGACACGAAAATGGAATCCTTTCTACAAAAATAGCTTTAAAAGCAGTTCTTAGATTATGTTCTTCTTTTTTTTAAATTATGTAAATTCAGTTCAATTTCAAATGAGGCCCGCTCTTGGATTATGGTAGCATGTCCATCCATTACTTATGTACTTGAATGAATTTGCTGGAAAAATTAACTCTATTTGTGAATCATACCATGTTAAGATGACGGGTTTCATTTTAAAATTGTAAAATAAAAGATCGGGCCTCATTTGAGGTCAAGTATTGTTGTTTTGTTTTACTTTTGTTTCTTTTTTTTCCTAGAGGAAAATTTCAAAAATTTTGGACACGTAGAAAGTTTTTTTTCTCTTAATTTTTTAAAAATAAATTTGAAACATAAATTGTTATAATAACTGATTAAGTGTTGTAACTTGGAACTGTTGTAGCTCGAGGCTTACGGCTAAAATAAATATAAAAAAAATAGGGAAAAAAAGCAGCTTCGGTAGAAATTGAAAACTCTCGTCATGGGATTGAATGTAGAAATGCTTTGCTAGATGAATTTCATTAATTATCTTAATGACAAAATTCTTACTCAGTGTCATCAGAGGCTTGTACGAAATTGATCTCAACTTAAATGGATTAATTTTTTTTTATTATTGAAATTGATTCACATTTTCTCCAAATAAAAAAAAGTACTTTGTAATTAAAATGAATAAAAAACAGTACTTTGTAATTCAAGTGAATAACACACAAGAAATTTGAAGTGGCTTTCTTTATACAATAATTATAATGATTGAATATTAATGAAAACAAAACGGTTGCAGTGAACTGATTTTCCATACTGGAAGCAATGTGATAAACGTGTAATGCTAATTGTAACAATATATTAATACTTAATTGCTTTATTATTAGCTATTGGCACTAACAAAATAAATGCATAATAAAACTCCTGGGAAAAAAAGGGTATAAATTATAAGTTATAGTATGATTGGGATTAAATCAAATTTTAAGGTTGCGATGATTTCATTTATTAATTAGACTTGAAATGATCACAGGTTATCGATTTATTGCTTTATGTGCGCTCTTTAAATCTGAAGTATCAAAAAATATGTTGAGAAAATGTTATTTTTAAGAATAAAAAAAATAAAAGCTGATGCTTTTGTTATTTCCTACTTTATATTATATTACGCATAGCAACTTACTGTTGCCAACGGGAGTTGACCTTGACACAGTGTGACACACATTGCTCATCATCTTGGTTACCATTCTATGGTGGATATATGAGCCGCGCCATGATAAAACTATAAACTATATATAAAGGTATTAACAATTGTTTCTTTTGTATATTTCAGCTGCTCCAATGATCACATTTGCTCCCAAGAGTATGAAAGTGGCAGAAAATATGATCGTAAGCTTCTTCTGCAAAGCTTCCGGATACCCGCCACCAGACTTCCATTGGGAAAAAGACGGAAAGACGATAAACACCCTTCATAAGAAACGTTACCACATCTTTAGTATGCCACATGGAACTGTTCTGCGTATACAACCGGCAAAAGCAAAGAAAGACAACACATATTTTACATGTGTTGCCGGGAACGAACATGGAGAAGCTAGGGCAAACGCCACCTTAAAGATTTATGAAGTTGAAGGTAAAATTTTATACATTTCCGAACATGTTTTATTTGGAAGAAGTGTATTTTTTATGTTATTCATGCACTGAAAATAGACTAGAAATATATAAACAAGTGTGCAGTTTGATAATAATTTGATGATTTTTTTTCTATGTTTTGAAACCTCCCACTTTGTTATTGACTGGGCGTCAATTATAATGTTATGAATTGTTTTATTTTTCTTAACCTCTGTTCTCTGTCTTCATATATATATGTATCAAATTTTCAAGCAGGAGATGACCATTGTATGTTTGTCATTAAAAAAAATAAGTTAAATGATATCAATTGGGTAAAATGTAAAGAAGTTGTCAGTTCTTCATGCAAAGCCTTTAAACTAACTTGTTTTTATTCAGCCATTGTTTTTATGAAAGGAAATAATAAATAAGTCTTTAGTATACTAATAATTTCTACTTTCTGAATACAAAGTGGCAGCACTGACATTTCTATGCCACTTTTGTAAAGCCAAGCGACTATTACAGTATACAATAATTTTTAGCTAAATAACTTGAATGAACTTGTCCATCTTTCAAGTAAAACCAAAGTGTTCATCATTTTAGGGAAATCTACAAAATATATATTGATTGAATAGTGAAAATTGTAGACCATGCATGGCACTGGTCACATTGGTAGAACTTGTTGCCACTAGAAGGCTAAGGGTAGGGCTTAAACTGTTAGCTGCTCTGATAGTGATATTGTGGACAAAAAAATCTATGGCATGTTACCAGCAAGGCCAAGGTTAAAAAAAGTGAAATACTGTTTTATATGTTATGAATACAAGATGTCAGCAATAAAACCACTTAATTGGTCTCGCGATTCTCATTAGATAATAAATTAATCTGCGATTTATTTATTATTAGATTTAAAGGTTAAAATTAATTATTGTTGGTTCACAATATATTATGACTCCAGAGTTAATCTTTGATAAGTAATGAACTCTACAATCTATAGAACAGTTTCCTGTTCAGGGACCAGGGATACCTCATACCACTAGTGGCTTCCCATGTTAAGGTACAGTGCCACTTGGGATACAGTGAAAATTTTGCGTAAAGGATACCCAATTTTTATAATGTTACAGTCCATGATAGCAACCTAAACAGTTTTCATCAGGAATATTTTGTATGTCTTTCTTTATATTTAACAACCCAGCAAGGCTTTTTTTATAGACTTATAATCATCACATTAGAGGACAGCTTCCTATTGTCTTAGCCTAACAATATTTGTGCGTTATTGATACGCACTATTAGCTTAAGCTAAATTTTTGCATTACCATATTAGTCAGAGACCTGGGAATTCATTTCATCTAAATTTACGAATAAGGAGCCAATCTGTTTGCAACATTTCCTCGGTAATAGATTGCCGGATTGGTTTGTCGTTAAATGCAAATGAGATGTATTTGATACGTCTGCACAAAGGAGATAAGGCCTGTCTGAAAGCTTGTACAAATTTGGCTGAAAATCTTCATTTTTCTAAGGAATGATATCTCCACCTTCTCGAGGCATGTCTGAGTATGAACGTGTACTTGGTGCTGGATGGGGGAGGGGATGAAATGATTGGACATTTATCAGAAAAAAAGGAAAGCTTATTATATTAATTTCCTTTTTTTCCTCAATTATTTTACTAACAGGTTGAAGAATAATAGAATATCCAGTTTGAACATTCCAGTATTTTTATGCCCCCGCCATGTAATGGCCGGGGCATATAGTGTTACCCTGTTCCGTCATTCCGTCCTTCTGTCATTCCGTCATCATCAGTTTCCATTCATTATCTTAAGAACGGTTGCACACATTCAACTCAAATTTGACATATGGATATGTCATGAGAAAATACAGGTCAAGTTCGAATTTGGTCATGGTTCGATGATTTTTGGCAGAGTTATGCCCCTTTTACTTTGAAAATAATATGAAATTTTCAGTTTCCGTTCATTATCTCCCCAACGGTACAACACATTCAACTCAAACTTGACATATGGATATGTCATGAGAAAATACAGGTCAAGTTCGAATTTGGTCATGGTTCGATGATTTTTGGCAGAGTTATGCCCCTTTTACTTTGAAAATAATATGAAATTTTCAGTTTCCGTTCATTATCTCCCCAACGGTACAACATATTCAACTCAAACTTGACATATGGATATGTCATGAGAAAATACAGGTCAAGTTCGAATTCGGTCGTGGTTTGATGATTTTTGGCAGAGTTATGCCCCTTTTACTTTGAAAATAATATGAAATTTTCAGTTTCCGTTCATTATCTCCCCAAAGGTACAACACATTCAACTCAAACTTGACATATGGATGTGTCAAAGGAATGTGCAGGTCAAGTTCAAATTTGGTCATGGTTCAATGATTTTTGGCAGAGTAATGCCCTTTCACTTTGAAAGTAATATGAAATTTTCAGTTTTCCGTTTATTATCTCCCCAATGGTACAACACATTCAACTCAATTTGACATATGGATATGTTTTTGGAATGCCAGGCCAAGTTCGAGTTTGGTCATGGTTCAATGATTTTTGGCAGAGTAATGCCCTTTCACTTTGAAAATAATATGAAATTTTACAGTTTTCTGTTCATTATCTACCCAACAGTGTTACATATTCAACTTAAATTTGACATATGGATATGTCAAAGGAATGGGCAGGTCAAGTTGGAATTTGGTCATGGTTTGATGATTTTTTGGCAGAGTTATGTCCCTTTCACTTTGAAAATAATATAGATACATCTTAGGAATAAGCAGTTTAAGTTTGAATTTGGTTGTAGTTCAATGATTTAAGACAAACTTATCTTTCCTGAATGTTGGAAAAATTTTGAACTTTCACTTACAGCACTCTTACTTTTAGCCATTATTTTGGCTACAAATATGCAATATGCTATTTTTAAAAGGTTTAGGCCATCCTTAAAAAAATGTTACTGGGATACAGTGAAAATTTTGCGTAAAGGATACCCCAATTTTTATAATGTTACAGTCCATGATAGCAACCTAAAAACAGTTTTCATCAGGAATATTTTGTATGTCTTTCTTTATATTTATCATTAAGAGCCCAGCAAGGCTTTTTTTTATAGACTTATAATCACCACATTAGAGGACAGCTTCCTATTGTCTTAGCCTAACAATATTTGTGCGTTATTGATACGCACTATTAGCTTAAGCTCAATTTTTGCATTACCATATTAGTCAGAGACCTGGGAATTCATTTCATCTAAATTTACGAAATAAGGAGCCAATCTGTTTGCAACATTTCCTCGGTAATAGATTGCCGGATTGGTTTGTCGTTAAATGCAAATGAGATGTATTTGATACGTCTGCACAAAGGAGATAAGGCCTGTCTGAAAGCTTGTACAAATTTGGCTGAAAATTTTCATTTTTCTAAGGAATGATATCTCCACCTTCTCAAGGCATGTCTTGAGTATGAACGTGTACTTGGTGCTGGAAGGGGGAGGGGGGCGAGTGTAAGGTGTTTGCTAATGAAAATGAAATGATTGGATATTTATTAGAAAAAAAGGAAAGCTTATTATATTAATTTCCTTTTTTTTTCCTCATTTATTTTACTTACAGATTGAAGAATAATAGAATATCCAGTTTGAACAATCCAGTATTTTTTTTTAATGAGAAGGAAAATGCCACTATTAATAGTATAAGGCTGTACCAGCCTCCTCCTCTTTGATTCAGTTCATTATACAATTTCAAGGTGCTGACAACTTCTTCACATGTATAAGTATTTAAAAGCTTTTTTTTTTGAAATAAAGAGTGTGCTGATTCTGATATGCTAAATGCAGAATACTGATGCTTATACTAAGTGGGGATTGTTATGGTTTAGGTGTCGTCCTCTTAGCAAAGGTATGGCAGTGTCAAGGCCCTATTTTGTATTACAGCCATGTTTTATTGTATGGCATCTCTTAAAGGTTTGTCTTAAAAGTTGTAACTTATCTTAGCTAAATCTATTAGAAGTTAAAATAAAAAGATGATTCATTGACTTAAATTAAATTTAACTTCAAGTTACCATGTCAACTTTGAATGTAAACATGTAACATTACCACTCTGAAAATGTAAAATCATAATCAATGAAAGCAGAGAGAGATTTATAATTATTTTACATTGCGAAATAAAAATAAAATAAAAATAGAATTCCTCATATTTATAGAAGCTGTAGAAGTCACTAAATAATTTATATGGTCTTTATTGTTAAGCATGTAATTTTTTTTCAGTCATAGACTTAAAAAGGAAAAATCCCATTATCTGAAAGTGATTATATTTGCTATCACATCTCCATTGTATAACTAGAGAGTTAAGCTTCAATATTTGATTTAGAGCCGTAGATCAATACTCAGTCATTAGAGCTCTAATCTTTTGATGTCCTCTAAATTATAAAAGGTCAGTATAGGATTGAGCAAACTTCACTGCCAGTCATGTTTGCAGTGAGATTTCGCAGCCATCTGCCCAGCAATAACTTGAAGGTCATTAAAGTCACCAATATAAATTATTCGGTCATATATGCTTAAAACTGCCTTTTAATTTATGGAATATAAATTTTTTTTATTGTTTTGATAATATTAAGCAGGTGGTCATTGTTAACCCCTTATCCTGCTAGGTTCTGAAATGGACTTGGCCAGCCTCCATTTTTGGAATTGTCCATTATCATATTTGAGGATATGTAAGAAGGTGTAAATTTGAGGTTAAGTCAGCCAGAAGTATAAAGACTTTATGTACAGATGTGTAGTCTAGCCTGGCTTATCACTAATGGTACAGGCTTACCACTTTTTTAAGGCTTTATAATCTTGTTTAAAAAAATTGGATAATTATGGTCAAGTGAATTTTGCTTAAACAACTTAATTAAAACACCTCCATAATTGGATGAAGTGCATCTTGAGGAGAAGTTGAATTAAGAACTTGAGGAGGCCATTGGGAAATTGACAAAACTGAAGTGCTTTTCAAGAACAACTGGTCTTTCTCACTATTAAAAGTACAATATAATTCGTCAAAAAGGCAATGCACTTTATGCAAAACAAACAAACAAAATTAACCTAGAAAAAAAAACCAGACTCAATTAATCTTCAGACTTTGCTTCAATCTCTGAAGTAGGATTAAGCATTGTATGCAAAGATGCTGAAAATTAAAACGCAGTTTCTGGGCTATAATTATATTAAGCATAAATCACAGATGAGTAATTTTTCTATTATTTTGCAAAAAATCAAGTGGCATGGTTGTGAAATATACATTTTATTGAGATACTAAAGTTATTTGAAATAATTTTTTTACTCTTTTGAATGCAAGCAGCATTTATTGGCATTCAGCAGGGGGAAATGCTTTTGGCCATTTACAATAATTCTTCTGGTAGAGTACTTTTTATTGATCAGTGTCCAGGAATGCACAGGGGTGACAGTAAAGGAAACAGTAATGTTATACTATGTAATTATAGAGTCTGGCGGATATGAAACTGTCGCACGGTATATCATCAGTATAAAACCACAACTCATAGACATACATATAACATATAAGAGTATAATATAATATAAGAAGGATTTTGTAATAAAAAGTATATACATTTCTAGAGATATGTCCATCAAAATTGAGAGGTAAAAATTATTTTTCTTCTTTCGCTCAATAGCCAGTAAGGTGAAAATTAATAACATTAAAAACATGCTTTGTCCATAGAAATTTTTTCTAGAAAGAATAAGAAAAAAGGGGGGGGGGGGGGGGCAGCAAATACAATTTAAATGCAGGCACCTCTTGTAAAGGTACGAATTAAAGTAAAACTCTTTAAAAGCTCATCCTCTGGAGGGAGAGGGGAATATTGTGATGTTTTTGTTACAAGTGAAAATGTTTGCTTATTTTAGTGATAAGTCCGGGTGTGCTACAATATCTTGGTGAGTTGCCTGCAGTATTGATAGTCTCATTTCTTAAATCCATACCCCGAGTCAGAGCACCATAACTATCTTAGTTTAATATTCTTTAATTAATGTTCAACCATGTAAATTTCTAGTATTAACATTTTTTACATACAAATATTATTGCTTGTTGCCTTGTTGTGTTATTTTACTTATCAATGTTACAGTTGCCCATAATTCTAGTGATATTAACTGTAGAAAATAAGCTCTGAACAGCACACCCTTGGTTTAGGAAAAAATAGAGAAAAAACATCCAAAATTAGGATAGATCCGAATTACTGTAACAGTGTGTTTATAATTGAACTTAGATGTTGAAAGCCTTGCACATATCATTTTATAATCGGATCAATTTTCAATGGTCTGTATAAAATCAAACAGAATTACTGGTAACTTTCATTCCTGAACATTCTGTCTCATACCAGACAGACTTAAATAAATAGATAAATCTTCAAAGCCTGAGGTGAAATTGTACAGAAAAGCAAATATTTGTGTTTTCTTGTTGATTTTACAAGCCTTGAAATGAAATTTACATTTCATTATATCTTTATTTATTTGTGAAAAAAAATGCATGTTGTATTCAATGATTTGATAGAGAATTTTAAAAACAAATCAAAAACAAAAATTAAATTGACAAGGGATATTTAAGAAACATTCATATGCAAGGGAAGCAAATCCTGTTAAATAAATATTTTAGATAGAACAGAGTTACTTACCTTTACTATATGAAATCATTGTTAATAGATTAGCATAGACAACAGCGTGATGCTAGCCTGCAATAAGCCGCAGCCGCTCTGCTCACTGTGCAGGAACCTCACTGTTCAAGCCCCAGTTTTACCAAAAACCTATCTGACTCACCTACTGTTTGCTGATTTTGTGTGTTCCAGTTTTCAGTCCTGTGCATTTTGTATCTTGTTTGAAAAAAAATAAATGTTTCATTATGTTTGAAGTTTCTAAGGAGTTATATTTCATGCTTACATTATTGTATAGGAGAAGGGTGTTCCTTGGGTGTGGTGTTTAATGATTTAAAGAAAGTATTTGGTGTAAATTTACACCATGAATGATAAAATTGTTATAAAAATATAACCTAGTTTAAGGTGCCCATCCATCATCATGTTAGACCTCCTGTGTTTAATAATGGAAAAATAAATGTTCATAGAAAACATATTTAAAAATTTGTCATTCCTAAGACATCACAAAATATGAAAAAAGAGAATATATATTTATATAATCATTAATAAGTCATTGATGGATGCAAGAATGTTGAAATTTTATGCAGCGGTGGTCAATGTTATTTTGAAGTATAGCTCCTATAGAAAAACATCTCACTGTGTGAATTTTTTTAGATAAATGAAACCGATTATTGCATGAATTTTCAGAGGGGCATAATCCTGATTGGAAGTTAGTGTATAAAGGTAACAGTCATACGTTTAACCTCACCCCCCCCCTCAGTAATTGATGGTTTGCCTCCTTTGACAACCCCATTTCTGGTGTCCGTAATCCCCACCCTTTCTATGTTAGAAACATTTGAATATTTTATTTGTTTCATTTACTCTTTTTATCTTATAATTATGACCTTGATTCTTTAACCTTGTAGAAAATTGTGACCAAAGCAGACAAATCTTTTTACCGGAAAAATGTGTCTTTGTTTAATATCTAACTCGGACTTAAAGACCCACCATGATGTACAGGTGATATGCTTACCTTAATGAATCCATCAAGGTGTTGCAGCTTATATAATATGCATATCCAGGGCTGATCGCAAAACTGTTGTTAGTCCTTCATTTTTTCATTAAAGGTACTGCAGTTTTGCAGTCAACCTTGATATATACATTACAGAAAACATTTTCAGGTGTAAATAAGACTTTCATTTGATATGATATGGACTATATCACTAGGAAGTGAGAGATATTTTAATACTTTTACCAATGAAATATGAAATTGATTCCTTTCATGTGAGATATGTCATATTCTAGATATTATGAAATGAGTATGTCTTCACGTGTAGTGGAAGGCAATGAAAAATATTCCAAATTTTAAAAATGGAAAAAAAAAATATACTGCAAGTGATGTTTGAAAATTTAGTGAAAGCATCACTGTGTGTTATTTGTGTCCTCTAAAGTGCATAGAGAAATGTATGACAAAGTCGATCTTCGAATTAAAAAAAATAGGTCAAGGTGGAATTTTATAAGATGATCTGTATGTTTTTCGATATTTTAAGACTGTACGTTTTCGATATTTTAAGACAGATATTTCACAAAGACAGGCTAAGTGTCTTAAAGTTCCATTTTCATGCATATTTATATTGGATATAAAAAAAAATGAAAATTGATTCAGTGTATCCACACAGAATAATGTTTATGGAAAGTTTACAGTTTCACGAATAATGGATATCTGACATCTTGACATGACTTTCTTTATTGGAATGTATCTTTTACATGAAACTGGGAGATAGTTTTAAATTTCCATATTGAAATAACAATATTTTGATCTTATTTTGGCTTCTTTTTTTTTATGTATATTTTAGAATTGTTCATTTTATGAGTAGTTAAATAAAGACACATTTGAATGGTACAGGGTGAAACTGTTTCTTTTTCTGCATGACTCACCTTGTCTTATGGTAAAACACTGTGTCTATGCTCAATCACAGTGGATAATGGTCCGACATATTCAAAATTCGGGCCGGGAACCAGACACCACACTGCTCCAGTATAACACCCATTTGATACTTTCAAGAACCCGTTGTCACTGTAGGAACCAGCAGTTTGTGGCACATTAACAAACAGTGAAGTACATGCGCATTTGCAATTATACCAGATTTGCTTGCGACACAATTTGCAATATGAAATATGAATTGACGGATGATGTTTCATGGAATTCATCATTTGTAAACAAATTTAAGCATTTTAATATGAATTATAGATTGATTTAACAAAGAGGTATTCATTTTTGGTGAAATCTGCCTTCGTTTGTTCATTAATTCTTAATCGGCTCGAACCGAAAGGTGATTAGTCTTTGTCAACAGTATAGAGTTGGGTAAATTTACACATTTATATTGTGACTGAGGCCCTTATACTGTTAGCAAAATTAATCTGATAATGAAATCATTGGGTAGTTTCAAAATTTAAAAAAAAATTGTTACGGAAAGGTTTCAAATAATAAGTTATTGCAAAATCATGTATGATACTTGGCTATTATTAGATAGTGAAAACCTTTTGTCATCCAGACAACAGTTATTAATGAAGTGGTAAAATAGGAAATTTCTTCTTTTCAATTGAAATTTCATTTCCTATTTTGAATTTTATTTCCTAGAATGCCAGTTCTTTTAAAATGTTAACTGTGATGACAAAAATTTCACAATTTAATTATTTTATGCTAACAGCAGTACCTTCCTTTTATTTGAAATAATTACCATCTTTCGGGCATTTGCAAATTGTGCTATTTCTTATAAGCCTTTCCTTTATCATTATTGATTTGAACATTTGATATGTTAAACAAAATTAATGTGTTGAATTCCATGAAATCAAATCCCGTGATAAAGCAATGTCAAAATTAATTTGCTGCGAAAAACCCCAATCAAAGCATGAGCATAATTATATAAACCTTTATTATTTTGCATAACGTGTGCACAAGTCTAGCAAGAAACATTGAAAAAGAAACCAGTTGGATTGCTTTGGTCATCTATTACACAATTTATTTAATTATTTTTTAACCCTTTGGATATTTGTCTAATATAGAATATTTAAATCACAGTTCAATATTCAATAATTGTTGTTAATTTATGCAAATTTATATAATAAAATAATGGATTTTAGAGTTGCTTTATCTAAAATAATACAACTTGATATATATCTCTAAATACAGTGAAGTTGTAATTTTTACATAGCTTTTCTTAAATGTTGCTAGGATACCCATACCAGTTTATTTTAGTTTTCTATTCTTGTATATATTGCTCTGTATATTGCTAAAATGTTTTAATAAAACAGGAGAATATATCTTTATATTAAAACAATAAATGCATGCATGCTTGATTCATGAAATTCGGTTTCCTTAGTCTGATGAAAGCTGCAAACCCTCGGAAGTTCATGTATGTTAGAGGGAGCAGGGAGTGAATGCTCCCATATAAAGAAAATGAAAGGTCAAAAGGTTTTATACAGAGGCCTGTCGGTGCTTGAAAGAAAAAAATGCACAAATTAAAACCTGCATCAGTCACCTTAGTGCAGGAACGGGTTAGCTCCTTATATAACTTAATAGGAGTTACTGCACTAAGATGACGACAACTTTTACAATGTTAATGTGTGACATGAAACAAAAAATAATATACATTATTATTATGTTTTGAAAGTTCCATGTACATAATGTATGTTGTGTCTCTTTGTCAGTATTAGGTTTAGGTATACCTGGTTAATATCTAGATTAACTAGTTGCTTGGTTTTACATCCACGAAAGCAGCACCAAAACTTTAGAAAAATATATTTAGCATTAATTATGGTGGTTAGATAAATTATATAAGATATATATACAATCATGTATATGTGTGCAGAAGGTCAACATGCCTGATTTAATTTTCATTTCACTTCATTCAGCAATATTTGCAGTGGTTTTTGAAGGATAACACATTAATTGGTGTAAAATAAAGTTGCAATCTTCACTAACTTTACTTTAATAGTATTATGAGAAAATAACTTGCACAATATGTATTTCAAATTTAATAGTCACAGGGTTAATTCATCAATGAATTGTTCATATGAAAGTGTTTCACCTACAATTCAAGGACATAGTCAAAATTTAGATCAACCATATATATGAAAAAACAGTTACATCTTTGTTCTCATGATCTGTTACTTTCAATTCCCAATAACTGATTAGTGTTAGTGCTGAAGTTAAACCATATTGATTCTTTATATTACAGATGATCTACAGGGTTATCCTAGAATTACGCAGAATCCCAGTTTAAAGAACGTAGAAAAGGAACAGACGGCAACCCTAGTGTGCTCGGCACGAGCGGAAAACAGGGAACAGCCTGCCATCTATTGGCTGAAGGATAACCTCCCCTTAGAGACCGGAGACCCGAGAATCAAAGTTGATAGTGATGGTAGTATATAAACAAATGATTTTTATCATGTTTTATTTCAATATCATTTTAGAGAATAAACTTTATAATATAGAGCATTATAGTATTTTAAAGAGAAAAATTATATGTAGATATGTTTCATTAATGAAATTCACCATTTTTTAGAGTACAAATATCAATAAAACATGACTGTTATACTAATCAATGCTACTAGAGCACCTTTTCCTAATTCAAGGGAAATAATGAAGATAAAAATATTTCAGAATTGTTCTGAAGTTGTTTCCCTTATACTTGATATTGCATAGCAAGACTTTTATCTCCCTTTCACTAAAACAACAAATCTGCAGACTTATTGTTGTCAGTCTTATTGGAAAAAGTGAATCTTACGATAAAGTATAAGTTTTAAAGTTCATTTGCTAAAATTTCTATATTTATGTTCATATATAATAATTATGCTAATTAATTAACATTTTGGTTTTTAGGAACACTGTCCATTGAGAGAACCCAGGAGAGAGACCATGGAAAGTATGAATGTGTCGCTGAGAACAATGTGGGCGTGGCTTACTCCTCCGCAGCTATGCTTTATGTCAAAAGTAAGTTTTAGAAATAATGACACAATAAGGGTATAAACAAAGCATTGAAGAAGATTTACAAAATTTGAAGAAGAAAAAAAACATCCAGTCCTCTGAATTGCATTCATAACTGACGTTTTACATTCTGGACTGTAAGGCATTTTACATTAAAAAAAAACAAACAATATTTTAATTAGCTTTTAAATTTCATCAACAATCATAATATTGAAATCTCTCCAGTTTCAAGTTTTAATTTTGCAATGGCTGAATCTATATTATGAGGAAACAAACTCATACATTAATCCTGAACCCTGAACCATATTGGTACTTTCTGTACTAACCAAAGGATGTTTAAAGTTTAAACTTGCTATGACTGTATGTCTGTTATGTGAAAATTGCACTTAAAATAATCAGAGTTTCTTGGCATCCCTTCTCAGAAATTATTTCAATTTAATCTTATTCCCCTTCAAACTTAATGTGAAAAATGATCCTTGTGGTTTTTGGGAGAGAAAAATATGCAGGAAGGAAGCTTGTGTGTTTTAAAACCAGAAACATAGACAGGTGGCACTCATTATATGATAACTGTAATGCATTATGTCGGTCAGATACATGCTGGGTAACCATCATTTATCAAATTATAATTTTATTTAACTGTATCAATTTTAACAATTTCAAAAAGCGGAAGAACTTACTCCGATAAAAGAAAAGGTTTCACAGCTTCTCTTCTTCAGAAAAAAATGGGTTTGTACCTTATTGCGTTGTATGTTGCCATGATAAGAATTGAAAGCATAGAACTTGTTATAGATAAATTCTTTCTTAATGAGAATTTTTTTTTGACATTGAGTCTAAATTTTGATGAATTGACTTTGGATATTTATGTCAGAGATTTTCAATGCTTTATATTTCCTGACCCATTTGCATGAAGTCCTAGTGTTGACAGCCATCCACTCGAACCTGTCAACTGTGTTGAAAGGACAGGTATTTATCCCCCCCCCTTCCATACGCCCACAACCCCACCCCACCTCCAACTTTTGATATTCCCAGGTTAGATTGATCATTTAAACATTCATTGAAAATATGTATAAAAAAAAATAACTCTAAGAGATCTTATATCAAGTTGAAGGTGGAGCTTTGTTTTCTTTCTTTCAAAGTTTCAATTTTGTCAATCATTGGTGAAAGAATAACAGGTGTTTGCCTGATGGAGGTTTACCCATTAGTGGCACCTGTATATATATATATGACTGACACTTTCCAAACAAAGCCAGCTTTTTTATGATTTATATAAATATACCTTAATTACCATCCTCAGTTCTCCCAATTTTTTACCCCAATAAACAAAATGTCTTGATTTAAATGAAACTGGTGTTGCAAGTTTTCATATAGCTTTGTAAAGGTATATGCTGGGAATTCTGCTGCTCAAGATTTCCTTTTATTTTCCCTTCTATCAAATATTTGGTGTTTTGATATCCATGGATTGGGTTTAAAGTTGATAAGCAGATGGTCAAGGTCACTGAAGCTAAAAAAAGATTTTCCTGCTTTTTTAAAGTTTTGTATGAGTGACATGGTGAAGCGTCCAGCAGTGTTAGTTATATACTTGTTATAATATAGCTCACAGAATATTACACTATAAACTGTTTAATTAACATTCATTTCCCAGAATTCTGCCCTATTAACATTAACACAATTCTACACTATAAATTGATAACACATATAACTCTCTCAATTCTACACTCTAAACTGTAGATAACACATATAACTCACTCAATTCTACACTATAAACTGTGGATAACAAATATAACTCGCTCAATTCTACACTCTAAACTGTAGATAACACATATAACTCACACAATTCTACACTATATTTACTGTCGATAGCACGTATAACTCACACAATTCTACACTCTAAACTGTAGGTAACACATATAACTCACACAATTCTACACTATAAACTGTAAATAACACATATAACTCACACAATTCTACACTTTAAACTGTAAATAACACATATAACTCACACAATTCAACACTATAAACTGTAAATAACACATATAACTCACACTGTAACACATAATACTCACACAAATCTACACTTTAAACTGTAGATAACACATATAACTCACACAATTCAACACTATAAACTGTAAATAACACATATAACTCACACAATTCTACACTTTAAACTGTAAATAACACATAACTCACACAATTCTACACTATAAACTGTCAGTAACACATATAACTCACACAAGTATACACTATAAACTGTAGATAACACATATAACTCACACAATTCTACACTATAAACTGTAAATAACACATATAACTCACACAATTCTACACTATAAACTGTCGATAACACATATAACTCACACAAGTCTACACTATAAACTGTAGATAACACATATAACTCACACAAGTCTACACTATAAACTGTAGATAACACATATAACTCACAAAATTCTACACTTTAAACGGATGATAACACATATAACTCACATAATTCTACACTTTAAACTGTAGAAAACACATATTACTCACACAATTCTACACTTTAAACTGTTGATAGCACATATAACTCACACAATTCTACACTGTAAACTGTTGATAACACATATAACTCACAATTCAACACTATAAACTGTAGATAACACATATAACTCACACAATTCAACACTATAAACTGTAGATAACACATATAACTCACACAATTCTACACTATAAACTGTAGATAACACATATAACGCACACAATTCAACACTATAAACTGTAGATTACACATATAACTCACACAATTCTACACTATAAACTGTAGATAACAAATATAACTCACACAATTCTACACTATAAACTGTAGATAACACATATAACTCACACAATTCTACACTATAAACTGTAGATAACACATATAACTCACACAATGCTACACTATAAACTGTAGATAACACATATAACTCACACAATGCTACAATATAAACTGTAGATAACACATATAACTCACACAATGCTACAATATAAACTGTAGATAACACATATAACTCACACAATTCTACACTATAAACTGTAGATAACACATATAACTCACACAATTCTACACTATAAACTGTTGATAACACATATAACTCGCACAATTCTACACTACAAACTGTCTATAACACATAGCTCATATAGTTCCTTTATTTAAATGGCAGGCCTTTGCAGCCAGAATAGAACGTAACCTTGTTGTCTACTGACTGTCAAGATGATCAGTTTTGAATAATTGGATCAATTATATACATAAACATTAATGAACCCATTTCAAAGTAGAATAAGTCTGTTTGAAGAAAGAATAAAGTATGTTGAAATGTAAATTTTGGTGTTTAAACACAACAGGGAAACCCTTTTCACAGTAATAATTCTTGAGCTTTAAGAGGTCTCTGGCATTTAAATAATTAGATTTAAGAACAAAAAGGAAATTATGCAAACATAATGGAATTTTATTAATGGTTGAAATACATGTAAGAGTGAAGGAAATTTCTTGAAACAATTTCATCAGAATTACTCCAGAAACAATGTGAAGTTTGAGTTTTTTCTAAGTTGATGCATATAGTTTGGGGGGAAAAAAGATGCAAAAACTAATAACAAAGCTGAAAATTCTTAGAAGTAAAAAACAGAAATAGATGCTAAGTACTTAACACGTTTTTTTTTTAAGTGACATAAAATCTTAGGTAAAAACAAGAACTAATTGCAGAGTAGGCTGCATAATTTTATGGTAATTGACTTGAGAATGTGAGAACAGTCAGTAAACTTGTGCAGGCATGCATGTTTTGTAATCTCTGCCGATAAAGTGAATGTGAAGACAGAGAAGGAGGTAGCTGACAAATTTAGCTGACAAGTTTGGCTGATAATGTCAGACTAAATACCAGGAATGATACATACTTCTCTGCTCTGTGTATTTTACTCTTTTTTTAGCTCACCTGAGCTTGCTCAGGGTGAGCTTTTAGGATCGGTGAATGTCCGTCGTCCGTCGTCCGTCGTCCGTCCGGCCGTCCACAATTACTTGTGAACACTCTAGCGGTCGCATTTTTGCCTCAATCATCATCAAACTTGGTCAGGATGCTTATCTAGTTGAAAGCTCGGATGAGTTCGAACATGGGTCATCTCGGATGAAAAACTAGGTCACAAGAGCTAAAAATAGAAAAACCTTGTGAACACTCTAGAGGTCACATTTTTGACCCAATCATCATCAAACTTGGTCAGGATGTTTGTCTAGGTGATAGCTTGGATGAGTTCGAACATGGGTCATTTCGGATGAAAAAGTAGGTCACAGGAGCTATAAATAGAAAAACCTTGTGAACACTCTAGTGGTCACATTTTTGAACCAATCATCATCAAACTTGGTCAGAATGCTTGTCTAGTCAATTGCTTGGATGAGTTCGAACATGGGTCATCTCTGATGAAAAACTAGGTCACACGAGCTTAAAATAGAAAAACCTTGTGAACACTCTAGTGGTCACATTTTTGAACCAATCATCATCAAACTTTGTCAGGATGCTTGTTTAGATAATAGCTCGGATGAGTTCGAATATGGGTCATCTCGGATGAAAAACTAGGTCACCGGAGCTATAAATAGAAAAACCTTGTGAACACTCTAGTGGTCACATTTTTGCATCAATCATCATCAAACTTGGTCAGGATGCTTATCTAGTTGATAGCTTGGATGAGTTCGAAAATGGGTCATCTCGGATGAAAAAGTAGGTCACCAGAGCTAAAAATAGAAAACCTTGTTAACACTTTAGCGGTCACATTTTTTGCATCAATCATCATCAAACTTGATCAAGATGCTTGTCTAGGTGATAGCTCGGATGAGTTCGAACATGGGTCATCTCGGATGAAAAAACTAGGTCACAGGAGCTAAAATAGAAAAACCTTGTTAAACACTCTAGTGGTCACAATTTTGACTCAATTGTCATCAAACTTGGTCAGGAAACTTGTCTAGGTCATTGCTGGGAATAAATCGAACATGGGACATTTCGGATGAAAAA